TTTTTAACTTTTTTTAATGAGATACCATGATTAATTATGTCAAATGCTTAGGATAGATCTTTAAAGCTTCGTTACACAAATTGCATTTTATCAAAAAAATCACTTATGGTGTTAACTATATCTAAAATTGCATGTTTGGTTGAGCGTTGTGATTAAAAACCAAATTAATTTTTATCTAATAATTTGTATCTAAGGAAAAGTAGGAAGTATTGAGATTGGTCTATAGGTATTTATTAAAAATGTTTCAGCGACTTTAAAATTGTGTATAGGTTCTACTATTTTTAGTTTATCAGGTACAGTTCCTGTTTTAATCGATGATTTAAGTATTTTGAAAATAGGTTTACGTATTTTCTATACAATGTGACTGCAATTCCCAGGAGATTTATTTAGTTTAAGAGATTTTGGTTGCATTTTTGAGTTCATCAATTTTTAGTTCTTTAAATATTAGATCGTTGTTAACATTATTAAGATAAGTTTCATATGATATGATAAGTTTCCGTGGATTTTTGAAGCCAAATTTAGGCCCATATTAGCAAAAAAAAACTTAAAATTTTCTGAGATTGCATTATTGTTGTCATACTCTATATTATTTATGATAATTAAAGCAAGGAAACTATTTTAATTTGCAGTTTTTGATCCCAGTTATTTCTTTCATAATATCCTCAGTACTTTTAATATCACCATTTAAGATTTTTTATTTTTATTGTAATTTTTATATCAAGGTGCAAATTCAAATTCAAAAATCGAATATATAAAAGTATGAATATATAAAAATATATATCGAATATAATATAATATAAAAGTATGAATCACCCCACAATGCGTCACTTCTTTTCCACACAAGCGTCTTTTTTTTTTTTTACATTTCTTAAAGATTTTTTCAATTTTAACATTTTAATTATTATTTTACGAAATTATTTAATAATTATTAGTAATTCCTATTAAAAAAAATTTAAATATTTTTAACTTTTCATTTTTAAGTGGGAGTAAAAAAATACATATTTTTGATAACTTTTTCAATTGTTTATGATAAAAATCAAACTTCTACATATATTTTCAATTTAATGATACATTAAATTAATTAAAAACCCAGAAAAAATGTTTTTTGCATAATATCTTTTCTTGTTTAATTTAGTAAAGATTAATGGATTGAATCATGTTACCACATAAGTAGCCAGTTTTTCATTTGATGCAAATTTTATGCAACAAATTGACTTTTTATAAGTAAAAAAATGTTCTCGCTAACTCTGTAGTAAGAAACTTCTAATAAATTAAACTTAACTTTAATTTAATTAAGATAATAAATAATTTTTCTTTTACAGGAGTAAACTGAATAAAGATTCTAGAGATAACATTCTAGAGATAACATTCTAGAGATAACATTCTAGAGATAGCATTTTATTTCTCTTGAATGAGAAGTAGAATGCATCACGTCTTTCTAATTTGTCAATACTTTATAAAATCAACGTGAGCAGGGGCGCCTCCAGCATTTTTTTGGTCTTTGAGATATCTAACTTCCAGACATAGAGTAAACTCCAAACATTTATATGTTTATACTTATGTCAAATAAGGGTGCTTTGCAAAAAAGTGCAATGATTGGAGCTTGGAAACAAAAAAGCCCTAAAATTTTGTCCCCCCCCCCCCCCCGACTCAAACGTGAGAGCAGCAAGTTGATGAAATACTTTTTGTACTATTCTCAACTAGACTTATATTTATCGATAAATTTTAAGTTTCATAGTTCATCATCTCTCAGCATTCAAAAACAATGACGATATAAAATTTGCAGCCCCCTCAAATTGAGGGGGTTTAAACTTTATATGGTTAACAATGGTCAATGCTTCTTGCGATATGCTTTGTGTATGATATATTCTGAAAACAACCGGCAGTAATATTAAGTCTTTCTTATTTTTTAAAGGTGATTGTTAGTTAAAATAACTTAGCAAATTTAATTTTTATGTTGTTCTGAAGTACGTAAAAGTCATATTGAAGCATAAAATAAATATGATATCATAACAAGTATGCCATCCATAAAAGTTTTTTCTGAGGATCACTGAACCACCCATCCACCCTTAAAAGCAATAGACTAAATAAGTTATAAAAAATGATCTATCAAAAGTGACATCAGAAAATAATATCAGAAAAAACGAAAGTAAAATATATTAAGCAGATGTTTTTTTTATTTAAAAAAAAGTTTTATATGTAATATTTTACATATCTCTAATTCCGGATGTAACCTAATTCCGGATGGTTTAAGTAAAAAGTTTAATACAACGAATTTATGAATTATTTTAATTAGTCTAATATAACGAATTTATGAATTATTTTTTCTAATTAATTAACGTCTATACCAGACAAATCGAACAATATAAAAAAAAAAAAAAAAAAAAAAATGAAAAACGAAACAATGCAATCATGAAAGATTTCAATTTGAAATGTAACATAAATAAATTAACAAAAAAAAAAAAAAAAAAAAAAAAAAAAAAAACTTAAATTTGCAACGAAATAATTAAAAAGTAAAAACACTATTTTATGCAGAATTTTATGCTGATTTTTTGAGTTAAAAAAAATTTAATTACCCTTTGAACTAATTGAAAAAAATTAAAAACAAATTTGCTACCAGCAAAAAAGAAAGACACCTAAATCCGGATAGAAGTAATTATTATTTTATGCGCCTGAAAAAACTAGCCATTTTTTTACAGCTATTAGATGTTGGCGTTTTTAAAACAATAAAAGTTGAATAGAAGCGAATAGTCAAAAGTTATTTGACAAAAAATCACTTTCAAAGCTTGACAAATTGACATTTTCCAGCCTTGTTTAAGGATCTCATCCAAAATGGTGGGTTTAAACCTGAAAATACAAGGAGTGGTTTCAAAAATACTAGTATATTTCCACTCGATCGTTCGCAAATTTCTTTTAAAAAAACATCCATTGGTGCTGTGTTTCAAGCTGTTAAAAACAATAATATTGAAAATTTATTTAATACTTCAGTACAACAGTATCTAGTCCATAAGTTTTACTTTGAGTAATGCCGTTCAACAAGTGGGAAAATATATAAATAAATCAGTGTCAAATATGCTTCGTGATCAAATGACATTAACTCTAAATAAAAGAGTTCAAAAAGATGAGAGAATAGAGCGACCAGCTAATAATAATATGACTTTGGCGGATGTCATAGCTTACGTCATAGCTTACGTCATAGCTGACGATGAAAAAAAAAAAAAAAAGATAAACAAGCTGCAAAGAAATTGAGAGAGCAAAAAAAGATTGCCACTACTACTCAAAAAAAAAGATTGCCACTACTACTCAAAAAAAAAGATTGCCACTACTACTCAAAAAAAAAGATTGCCACTACTACTCAATAAGCAGAAAATGCACAGAAAAGAGAAGAAAAAAAAATTGAAACAAAGTCAGTCGGCTAAAACACCAGGTAAAAAAGATTGAAAGACAAAGAATCAATCAGAAGACCCAAGCTTCAAATAATACTTTAGTATCTGATAATCGTCTTTGTTATTCTTGCGAAAATTATTGGGCGAATAGCTTAGATAAGCAATGGCTTACATGTGAGGAGTGTTCTAATTGGTCTTGCCTTACATGTGTCGTTGGATATCGTTTAACTATGTAATTTATTGTAACAAATGTGAATAAAATAATATATTTTCTTTTTTAAATAAACAATTTAATTTGTTTTATAGATTAAATCAATTAACTTAATGTTTGCATTATTTGTGTATGTGTTTTTTTTTATATTTTATACGCATCCGGAATTAGGGACATAGACACCTATTTCCAGACAAAAATAATAATTTTTAAAAATTAAATAAAATAGAGATTTAAATTAAAAAAACAAAAGTTTTTTAAATCGCTCGATTTCCCTTGTTATTTATTTAAAAAAATTGTTCCAGTCTTTTATAACGAGCGAGTTATGATGACTTAAGTATTAAACCATACGGAATTAGGGGGTTTTACGGTATATAACATTTTTTGTAGATATATATTTTTATTTTTTTTTGTTTGTATTTTTCTCTGCTTAAGATTTTTTTTAATACGCCACAATTCTGAAAATAACACAATTTAGAGAGCGGCTTTAATACGCCTGCCACAATTTAGAGAGCGGCTTTAATACGCCTGCCACAATTTAGAGAGCGGCTTTAATACGCCTGCCACATTTTAGAGAGCGGCTTTAATACGCCTGCCACAATTTAGAGAGCAGCTTGAGTATTTTATCTGAAAATAACACATACATCTATTTAAACGTGTTGCTAAAGTCTTATTATTATTTTTTTAAATGGGTTTTAATAAAATTTGGCCAAGGTAAATCCTATTTTGTGCTTTTATTTTTTTTGAGGGTAGAAAATGAAGTGAAGAAAGAGGAGGAGGAGGAAGTAAGGTAGTTGGTACTGCAGCAACCCCTAGAGTGTTTTTAATCAATATCACAAAAATATAACTAGTTATTTTGTTATGGATCATAATGTCAAAAGTTGTTTACTGTTTTCTATTTTGAAAAATAGTGGTGTAGATTCGTTACCCAAAATGTTAGACAAGACATTTCATCTTTATCAATCCAATCGCACAATTAACAAAAACTATGCCAAAAATTTGCTCAGAATTTAAAATTTATTACTTGTCCTTTTTAAATACTGTATTCATTTATATATACAAAGCTCATTTAAAGATTTCTCTAAAGCATTTAATACTGTTGATAACGATATTTTACTTTCAATTATTTTCACGATACTTTACTTTCAATTTTGTTGATTACGATACTTTACTTTCAATTATTTTTACGATACTTTACTTTCAATTTTGTTGATCACGATATTTTACTTCCAAAGACATTTAAGCTCTGACATAAAGAGTTTAAGTTATTGTTGAAAATATCCAAGAAGCTCTTAGTGTACAAAATATGGCGGGAAATTAGGAACTCTTAGTGTAGTGTGTAAAGTCACACAGGGATCAATCCTAGGATCATTAATATTTTAAATATTTACCCACGATACACATAAAACTTTATCTAATATATTTTTAATATCATGTGGGGACGATACAAAGTTGCCCTTCAAATAACCGTTGCATAAAAAAAAATTAAAAAAAAAATGAGTATAACACTTAAAAAAACGTGTTTTCGTTTATATCAGTTTCTGACAAAATATTATAGACAAACTTTAACCTTCGATTTTGTTTGCAAACTTTAATAGGAAAGGCGTATTTTTGCCTTTTTCTTTTTGCAAAGATAATTATGTGTTATACAAATACGTCATTCTTTATAACTACATTTTTCTTTTCTACAATGTCAAAGATGAAAGTCTTCAATTTTTCTTTCACTAAATAAAACAAAACTAATGTATGTATTCCAAAAAAGAGAAGCAAATCTCACAACAAGGATTCTGTAAACTGTAGGAACTAAGGTAAAATTAAAAATTTGAACAAATGGCCAAAATTGATACGAACTCATTAGCGTTGAATAATAATCTCTTCTAAATCGCTCAACAAGCTGGTCTGAATTTTTACCATCAGAAAAGTTCGTTATTGTAAACATGATCGATATTATGAATGGAGAAAACACTAACTGGTCGATAAGAACTTTTTTCAAACTTGCAAACAGTGTTGTAGCTTTTACAACCTTGTCAAGAACTTTAAACCAACAAAACACCATTGGTGCAACAACTAAGGTTCCTATTCCAAATAATTTAGCTGCTCTTTTAAAATTGTATGGCTTCTTCTCAATGCATTTTTGAGAGACAAAATCTCCAATTACAAAAGTGATACCTGTGAGAACATTTAATAAATTATCAACTCCCTGAAAACCACGTCAAATGTAAAAAATGATTAATATTTCTCTAAATGGTAGTTTATACGGGACTTGATGCTCCATCATAAGGCTAAGACTTTGATTTCAAAAGGCTATATGCTAAAAGCAAAGTATATTCATACCGGTAGTTATAATGTTAGCTGTCCATGGTCTTCTAGCAAAATGAAAAAGATATCTTTTAAACACATACAAGACAACCATGTTTAACTAACGGTAATTGCCACGATTCATTTACGAATTACTAAAGTCAAATCAGTATATTATACAGTTTATCACATTAATAAATCATCATACATTAAAATTGTTTTCATTAAACAGTGTAATATAAAATTGATATAAATGCTTTTAAAGTTAAAACGTAAAACAACGATATAAGATTGTTACAAACGTTACACAAGTTGTATGCAATCAAAAAAAATAAATATTTAAAAACAAAATAAGCAGAAGAATTTATTTAAAAATTATTGTCTAAATAAGAAAAACATTTTATAAAATGTTACACAATGATCAAAAAAATTTTTTTTTTTTAATGTCTGATTTACATTGTCAATAAATTAATAACATTAAAGAAAAAAGTGACGATAAAAAATCAATACAAATAATCAACTGTTAAGGAACAATACAAATCATTAACTGTATCAATAAAGAAAAGCTGAGGATAAATGACAACAACGATATTCAACAACAGACGAATCACAATAAAAGTGTCAGAAAAAATAAAAAAATATGTGATAACATGCAAAGTAAAAATGCAGCAAATTTAAGTAAAAATAGACTAAAAAAAGAAGCCATCTAGAATAATAAATAAACGTTATAATAACAAGAATAAATGAGATGGTAAATATTACAAATACTAATTCTAATAAAAAATTAATTTTAAATGAAATATTCATTAAATATTGAAACCAAAACATGTTTTAGTTTTAATATTTAATGAAACCAAAACTATGTTTTAGTTTTAATATTTAATGAAACCAAAACTATGTTTTAGTTTTAATATTTAATGAAACCAAAACTATGTTTTAGTTTTAATATTTAATGAAACCAAAACTATGTTTTAGTTTTAATATTTAATGAAACCAAAACATGTTTTAACTTCAAGTGAAAATAAAAGCTATAAACGCACACATAAAATTTATTTACTTAATCCTGTTTTGATTAAAACAGAATTAATTGAATAAATTAAAGCTATATACAAATTATAAACTTGATTAAAAAGACAACATTAAAAATTTGATTAACAAAAGCATAAACTAAAAGCAATACCGAAAAAGAATCACAAATTAAAGTCAAAATTATTGTAAACATTTTTTTTAAATTACTAAAATAAAAAATTGTAACTTAAAGTTAACATAAAAAAAAAATAAAAAAAAATAAAAAAATCATAAACCCTAATTCTTAAAAAAAACTTTTTATTTCATTTTAATAAAACTATTTTATTTCATTCATCTTTTTATCATACATTTAAACAAGAAATATTTCAACAACTTGGCTAATTTAATTTTTAATAGCTTGGTTAAACGAGGCCGAAGCCTTCATAGTTTTCAACAGCTTGGTTTAGTTTTTCCTTCATTATTTCGTAAGTTGGATATTTAGGTAAGTCAAGCAAATTAAAGCAGGTGTGGGCAACTGGCAAATGGTCTCCTTTATCACCACCAGCAACTGACTGTATGACAAACTAAATAATAAGATAAAACTCCATTTTTGAAAACATTTAATTTCTTAGTTAACAAATTAAACAGAAAAAAACCTTACTTTCATATTTCTGATACCAAATATAGATACTTTGTCACTTCCTGTTAGAAAAGCTAGAAAATAAACCATTTCATTTTTTTCAAAATCATACAAAAGAAACTAAAGATAAAAAATCTGTAAAGAATAAAGCATGCAAGTCATTTAGAATTTTTCGAATTTTATTGAACAACAAAAGATTCGCTAATTTTCAGAGAACTGCTCCATTAGTATAGAACAATATTAAATACAAACTAAAAACCCAAAACAAAAAAAAAAGTTTAAATTGAAGCAAAAAAGCCTTTACAAATTCTAGTTTATTATAACATTAGTTTATTCTAGTTTAAAAACATTAGTTTAAACAAGTTAACAAAGCAATAATTACTTATTATCAAAATTATCATAATTACTTATTACCAATGCTATTATTATCACTATCTGTTTTAATTGATAGAACTAACTACTTTAATAATATTTTACATATATATATATATATATATATATATATATATATATATATATATATATATATATATATATATATATATATATATATATATATATATATATATATATATATACATATATATATATATATATACATATATATATATAATATATATAAAATAAAATAAAATAACAAAAGAATTACCAAGAAACTTCTTTTTTTTATCCCGAGAAAATTCATAAAACACTTTCCAGAAATTTTCTATAACCGGGTGTTGTCTGTAATACTCCCCTTTATATTCTGCTACCTGCAAAAACAAGTTAAATATGAGTTTTAATCATTTTCATTTAAATTTATTTAAAAACATTTAAAAACAATCTTTAGGCATCAGATTAATATATATATATATATATATATATATATATATATATATATATATATATATATATATATATATATATATATATATATATATATAATATGGATTATGATAGAGATTTAGAATAAAAGTGCAAATAAATTTTTATTATAACTTTATTAGTCAACTTGTATAGTCAAATAAAATATAGTCAAAGTTGAATGACTATATTTTATATTACTTAAAAAAAAATATACCCGTTCCAGTTCGTTACAATCGTAGTCTTGACAACCAACCATCATATTCATTAGCTCTTGAGGATGAAAAAAATTAAGCACATTACTGCGACAAACTTTAAAGAAACCTTCAGCAAACGCTTGATACTGCTTTTCTACTGAAGTGTTTATCATGTAGTCAATATAAGCATTTACATACATCTCCCTAAATGTAATAATATAAGCATTTACATACATCTCCCTAAATGTAATAATATAAGCATTTACATAGATCTCCCTAAATGTAATAATATAAGCATTAACAAACATTTTAAACAAAATATTAAAAAATTAAATGCTCAAATGATTTAATAAAACTAAATGCTCATTGAACTTATTTTTAATTAATGATCAGAAAAAATTTATTTAAAATTTGCTATCATTATAAAAAACTATATGTCAATAAGTGAAAACAAAACCTGTTATCAATTGTTATTGGAATAGATTCACCGTGGGGAACCAAGTTGACTTTTATTAACTCCCCAAATGATTCTTCAATAATCTTAAGAAATTTTTTTTTTTATACTTAAATCAATCTCAACAATTACAAATAATTACAATAAACAGTTTAACAAAAATTAAGTAAACAATTAAAATCTATTACTTTTAATCAATGATGGCTTCAATCATAATGTCAATGATGATGTCATAATAATGATTTTGTAAAATAGTAATGTGAAATTTTTTTTTTTAATATTTCATTTTACTATTTTTAAAACTTTTTTTCTTTACTTCTCTGATAATCTATAACTTACACTGTAAAAATATATTTTTCAAAAAGGACTTAGACTAGACATACTAGTACTTTTCATTTGCATCCTAAAAATATCACAAGCAGAAAAAAATAAAGATCATTTTAAAAAGTTCCATGAATTTTCCATTACTTTCAGTGAAAATTTAGGGATTCCATGACTTTTTACATGACCAAATAAAATTCCATGACATTTCTATGATTAACATGACCAGTGGCCACCCTGTAATTCAGCAAAATTTTTTGAAATGTCATCTTACAACAAATGGCTTTTGACATCCATCGGTTTTATCTTAAAATTGCTTTTTAAGACAAAACATAACCAAAAGAAATCAAGGCAATCTTTCTAAAGATGCTATGGTTTTGCTCACCCTACCCAAAAAGTTTCTTTTTTGACGATTTTCTCTTTAGATGATAAGCACTCTGTTTGCCTGTTGGTCTTTTCTTCCAGAACCTTTTAAAAAGACTTCGAATTCAGTTGTGACAGACATGATAACAGCATCCAATATTAACAAATCTTTAACAGAGTGATTAATATTGCTCTTTATAGTGAGGTATTTTTTAAGGTAGTAAAGAAGAGACAACAAAGTGTGTCACTGTTCGTAGGCTGTTCATGTCACAGTTGTAATGTTTCTTACTGAGACGTAGTAGTTGGTGTACTTGGTAACAAAAAAGAAAACTAAAAAGAGCAAAAAAGAGCAAAGAACCTTAACAGAGTTTCTTGTTGCAGCTGCCAAAATCTACCAAAATACCTGCTTTTGGTTATAAAATCTACTATTATTATTAACATATTAAATATTTAAACTAATGGTTCCAAGAGATTTATTTTGTTTCTGCAACCATTAGAAATTGATACAGACAACTAAAAAACTCAAATTCCTTTAAAGATGATTGAACCTTTTTTCCAGTCTTAACACCGAAACACCTTAATTCATGGCTTTAAAAAATGTTCAAAAAAATGGTCACAATTTAGAACATTATGGATGTATCACAACACCCCAACATTAAAATTTGAATCGAACAGCCAAATTAAAATGAGTCTCAGAAACTAATTTTTTATGTCTTAACACAAATGAAAAAATTACTTTAAAAATGAATTCCGTTTTTGAATTAACAAGTAATTCAGAAATGGAACTTGATTAGTACTAAGTAGTTAGCACTAAAATTATGCAATACAATCAAGCCACTTTATCTATTACAGAAAAGTTTCTTTTTTTCTCTTTTCAACAAGGTCTGGCTGAAGCATCAAGACCTTCTTAAAAAGACAAAAGAAGCGTTAGAAAAACCAGCCCAAATGTAAGCAATAGTATTCCATACAAGGAAAAATAAGAGATTTTTAGAGGTAGAGAATGGATTTAAGAGTAAGAAAATGACTCAGATAACAGCCATTAAAACTGAAATCTAAAGAGGAATCCAAAATCCATGGATCCAGAAATCCAGATGAATTTTAATTAGACTAAAAATAAGTAATTCTGATGGATTTTGCAAAAGGTAAGATTCAAATGATGTTATTTGAAGATCACAAGTATTTATAAAAGATTGAAATAATTTGCAGGTAATAATTGTTTTCTTGATTAGTATTTTAGATACTTAATTCTTGTTTTAATAAATTTGAAAAAATTTCTTGCATTTAAAGATAAATCTCATTATTTTAAATACCTCACATTCTCAACTATACATTACATTCTCCCTTACATTTAAAAATTTTTCTTATACATTATTTTAAATGCCAATCAAAAAAATTTCTATAAAATAATAATACTTATATTAATTAGCAACAGATTTATAGTAACTACTTTTAAAAACATTTTTCTACAAAACAATTTGCAGAAAACAATATTTTAACTTTTTTAATTTATTTTTTTTTCTTTGCAGAAAAAGTAATACTTAAAATATTTATTTAAGCATTATTATGTTATGTATTGATAATAAAAGTGTTTTGTAGCTAATTTATTAGAAAACTCTGTGGGTAATATAACATGAAGTGCATATTTTGTTGAAGGTACATACATACTTTTCAAAATTAAAATGAAATAAACAAAAGATCTTTTGTATTGGAGACATGCAACAACTTCTTGTATGACATGATCATTTATGTAATATTACATATTACTAAGTATTTAAAAGCACTTACTTGCTACTAATTAAAGAAAAAGTAAACCTCAAAAAAGTCAAACAATTCACACTAACATCATTCACATTCACATTGGATGATTGATAACAAAAATGATTGAAGTAGGTTAAATAAGAAAACTAAACTAACCTGAAAATTCATTTCAAAGACATCCTTAAAATCATCGCCATCATAATCAAGTAAATATTGAAGATTTCTATAAAATAAAAATCTTATAATTGTAATTTTATTGTTCATCCAAAAATTACCCAAAAGCAATTTAGTCATTTAATAATAATCTTTTAACAATAAAAAAAACTTACTTAGCAACCTCATGTTGAATACCACGAAAGTCATCTAAGTTGATTTTTCTAAATTTTTCAAAATATAATCATCATCATCATCATCATCATCATCATCATCATCATCATCATCATCATCATCATCATCATCATCATTGTCATCATTGTCATCATCATCATCATCATCATCATCATCATCATCATCATCATCATCATCATCATCATCACCACCACCATCATTATCATCATCATAAAAAAAAAAAAATACTTTTTAAGAAGCTTTTTATAAAGACAGAGGGGAAATGGAAAATCAATCATTGTGGAATTGTAGATAGCCAAGCCACATATCATACCAACAAACATGTACATGTCTGCATCTTCAAATGACTACAAAACAAAATCTCTTATTAGCATGATTTTGTATACAAGCTTTTGTATAAGTTTTTTAGTTTATTCTAAAAGTGAAAAATCTTTATTATAAAAAAAGTACTTGAATATTATAAAATTATTTTTTTTGAATTTATATAAAATGTAAAATTAATTTTAAAGGTTTAATTTGTATAAATGTTACATTTAAAGATGATGGAAAAATGACTACATTTGACGCAAGCTTTATGACAGTACATAGAAAAATTCCATCCAAATGCCATCATCTCAAAAGTGACAAAACTGAGATTAAATAATAAAGAAATATAAAAATCACCTGTAACTATCAACTTTAAATCAATTTTGAAATTTCAAATTCTAAACTAATAAATTTTTTATTTAATGTCTGAAAATTTGATTCTCGCTTTATTCTTCTAAAACATCAGTAATGTGAATTTTGAGAGAGCACCATTTGTATAGAATCAAATATTCTAATGTGTGATTTTTAAGTATTTATAATGAAAAAATTTCTTTTTCCATTAACAAAAATATTACTATGTATATCAAAAAAAAATATTTTTATTATGTTTTTTTGATGTGCTAAATAAAATATATATAACTAATAATAACGGTTAGATCTGCTAAATAAAATTAAAAAATAATACTTAAGTACTTTCATGAAACTAACATCTCAACTTTAAATCAGCCTGTTTTTAAAAGTTATAAAGTTGTCAATTTTGAACTCAAAAATATATCATATAGGGTATGTGGTCGCAGCTGTTTTTTTCTTGAGCAACTACTATCGTTTAGTAAATGCAAAAATTATATAATGAAACAATAAAAATATAAAAAAAAATTATGAAACAATTTTCTGGTAGCATTCAAATCAAAGAACATAAAATTTTAAAAAATGTCAAAAAATTGCAGGCATTTAATGAACTAAAACATTTTTTATAAACACATTAATATGTTTATTTAAAATAAAAATAGTATGAAGCTATTTAAAAAGTTATGCAGATTTTAAAAATATTTCTAATTTTATGATGACTAAAAAAAATGTAAAATCGATTTTAGTCATTTTTTTAGCCATTATGAAATGTTCTAGCAAGATGTCTTTATATCTAGTAATTAAACCAATACATTTTTGAGTAGAATGAAGGACAAAGAAATATTGCAAAAAAAAAATAAATCGTTTTAACAGCAACAACAACAAAAAAAACAAACTGGACCACTGTGCGTCACTGCATATCAAGTTAGAATGCATAAAGCAATTTATAATTGCTCTTAACAAGAAGGCAAACCAAGGTATTTTAAGTACCTCTTAGGTATTTTTCTAAAGCTGTCAAAGACTTCAAAGGTTAGTGTTGATACTAGTGGGTAGTGTTGGTATCTTCATTGTACCACAAATTAAGAAGATCATAGAATGTGACAAGTACACTAAGCTCCTGAACAAGATGGGGAGACCAGTTTTGTTGCAGTTGTTCATGGATTCTTGATTATTCACAGGCTGAAAATTATGTGGAGTTGGTTTAGATGCTTATAAAAGATTATGCCAAATTGAGATGCAAAATTTTAGCTAAATTTCATATCCTTAATTCTCATCTTAATAAACTCAGATGAGCAAGTTTTTTAATCAAGATATATTTTCATCAAAATATATATTCATCAAGATATATTTTCATCAAGATATATTGGACTTTAAATATTTTTATCAGATAGAGTATTACAGAATTTTGATGAATATAGAAAATCTACTCATTCCTGAAGCTTTTTAAATGATTTGTTACTTTCTTTGTCTATTTGATATGCAACTATTTTTTTTTTGTTTTTCAATAGCAGACTAAAAATATGAAATTTTTCTTTTTCTGTTTCAATAAGAACAAGAACAAGAAAAACTTGTAAGCAAGTTTAACATAAGCAAGTTTAACATATGAAGGACTAGCCTAAACTGTCTTAAAAATAAAATAAAATCTTTAGAAGAATTGACATTTTTAGCATATTTGGGCACAAAAAAAAAATAATTCTGGAATACTGTGTGACAATATAAGCATATTCTGAGGTTTGTTATAAAGTTGCTCCTGCTTCACATTTTTCTTGTCCAGTCCTTTCTGTGATAGTGTACAGTTGCGTGACAGCTGTCCTGCCTTAAAGGTCCAATAATGAATGACACATTATTTTGAAGTATCTAATGACTTTGAACTTTCAAACTTTTTTCCTTGTATCAAACTGTAAGATAGTTATATAAATTTGAAAGGAAATTTCACATACCTTTATTCAGGGTATAACATTAACATATAAGGTGTTTTCCTTTTGTACTTTAAAATATATGGAAACTACCAATTGCAACTTCTTAAAATGAATTGTATATATATATATATATATATATATATATATATATATATATATATATATATATATATATATATATATATATATATATTAGGGTGGGTCAAAAATTTTTTTAAAGGGCGCAACTATATTGGGGAAATTACCGGTACCCTGATATTTTAGAGAAAAAAAGTTTTTCAAAAGTAGGTCAACCTGGTACTCATAAGAAGCGAAATTTTATAAAAAATTCGAAAATAATAATCATTTTATAAAAATCAAATTGCTGAAAAAAATTGTTATTAAAAAACATGTAAAAATGCACCTTTTTCACTTTTAGTTAAAAAACTACAGTTATTATGCAATAAAATCTAAAATAATAATTTTTATATGAAAAAATTATTATTTTTGAAATTTTTATAAAATTTCGCTTTATTTGAGTACCTACATTATATAATTTTGAAAAACTTTTTTTTAGAATAATAATAGGGCCTGCTAATTTTTGTAATTATAGTTGCGGGTGGAAGACATTGTTCAATCCATAAAAGTAAATACTTTCCTAAATTAGTACATAAAAAAACAACTTTCTAGCAATGTTTAGAGCCTGGAACAAGAAAAAAAAATTTTATGACCTACCCTAATATATATAATAATAATTTATATATATATATATATATATATATATATATATATATATATATATATATATATATATATATATATATATATATATATATATATATATATAATACAGCACATCTAAGCAAAAAGAGATTATTCAACTTACCTTCAAGACACAATTCAGACATAGTATGCTTTGTAGATCTCACATATTTTACAACTTGCTTCCATGAAGTACTTTTCAATCTTATCTTATAAATTGTTCACACATGTAGAAAAATGCAGGTATTTAGTTAGGTATGTAGTAAATGAAGGTAATTCACACATGTAGCAAAGTGCAGTTATTTAGTTTTAATACCATTAAAACTAAATAACTGCTCTTCAACTACAATTGGTCATTCACCATTACCACAAACTGAACTGTTGGTTCGGCCATGCTTTTACACTTGTCTGACTACTTTTGGATATAAGGATTTTGATCTGCAAGTATATATATATATGGATAACGAGGCACGGTCCCCACTTTTTGTAACAAAATATTGTTATTGATTTTTACTACCTTCCAGACTAGCTAGAGCTCTGAAAATTTTGGCATTTATGTATTACCAATCAATGTGCATGTTAAAATTGTTTTCTGGGCTTCAAGATATTAGGGAGGAGGACTACCCTAATTTTTTTTGTTGTGGAATCTTGTGATTGATTTTTTACTACCTTCAAGACAAACTGGAACTCTGAAAATTTCAGCATTAGTGCAATCCTAATGAACATGTGTTAAAATTGTTTTCAGGGCAGATGACCAGAGACCATATGACTGGGCACTGGGGACCTATTATTTTCAACATTTTTTTTGCACTTTTAATAAAGTAAAGATAACTTTAAAAATATTGTCTTCAAAAATTTTTATTGGTTTATATTTGTTCCATTTGGTTTTTGATCATTCTTTTTTCAATGATCTTTCTTAAAATATTTTAGGAAAATATAAATGTTTATAAGAAATGTTTATAAGATTTTTGATTTGCAAGTTTATGGATTAAAAACAGTCATTCACCTAAAATAATGATTTTAACAGAATTTTGTATTGTATCATTTAAAACCTTTTGAATTGAAAAAAACAAACAAACAAATTGGTGTTATCAGAGGCAAGCAAACAAGTTAACAGCTCATTCCTACATTGCAAAATATCAAGCAAGATACCTAAGGCAACAAAATAAAAAGTTTGCAAAGGACTGCTAAAGTGTCTTAAGTTGATTTTGCAGAAAACTACATGCTTGTGATTCAAGATGATATCCAAAGTTACCATTGGTGCTAAATGGTCATTAAGCACCAATGGTAACTTAAACCAACTTTATTAATCAAACAAGCATATTAAATTTACATAATCAAATAATAAGTTTAATAAGCTTTAAATAACTTGATTGTCTTTTTTTATTGTTTGATTAAAGTTTAAAAATAGCTTTTAAATTGACAAAAAATGACTGGCTTAAAAATATTTTTTTAAATTGACAAGAAAAATTTTTTTGCTTTATGTCAGAAGATAATGAGCATGGCATTGGTTTTGCGTATGTAGTTCAGACACAAGTAGTTAATTATTTAAAATAAAATCATTTTAATATTTCAAAGATTCTTTATTTTTTAGATGGTTGTGCTGCACATTATAAAAACAACAAAAACCTTTACAATATCTGTTTCTATAAAGATGATTTTGACATTGATGCAGAGTGGACATTTATTGCTACAAGTCATGGTAAGTCACTATGTGATGGTATTGGTGGCACTATACAATGATTTATTGCAAATGCAAGTCAACAAAGCCCCATAAATGACCAGATATTGAACTGTAATAAAATGGTAAACTACTGTACAAATAATATTTAAAGGGATTATTTTTTTCAAGATTAAAAAATAAAAGACTAAAAGAATTGCGCACCACTGGTATTCAAAGTATTCAACCTAATCATTAAATTAACATCAATACATTGAAATTTGGTGAAATTATTCTGTGTAAATATGATATGTTTCATTGGATTGGTATGATAAATGAAATTGACAACATTGAGCAAGATATTTTGGTAACATTTAAGCACCCACACGGTCCTTTTAACAAATGTTTCTGGCCATCTAAAGCAGATGAGTGTTGGGTTCCAATTACTAACATAATTTGTATCATTGAAGCATCTGTAACAACAACTGGACATATGTATACTTTGACCATAGACGCATCTAAGCAAATCTTAACACAATCTTGACACAAATAAAAAACAATTTTTATTTATTTAGAAAATAAGTAAAACTGAACAAACCAAAAAAATTTTTGAAGACAAAATTTTTAAAATTATCTATATTTCATTGAAAACATCAAAAAAAAAAATTCTTTGAGAAAAGTGGGATATGGCCCCCAGTGCCCAGTCTTACGGACCCTCTGGTCATCTGCCCTAAAAACAATTTTAACACATGTTAACACAGGATAACACAGGACAACACAAATGCTGAAATATTTAGAGCTCCAGTTTGTCTGGAAGGAAGTAAAAAATCTTTTTTTTTTTTTTTTTTTTCTCTGTTTACATAACATAAGAATTTTACAGATTATACTACATAATATAAAATTTAACAAAATAAGTAAAACAGATAGGGACTCAAAAAAGATGAGGATGACAGAATGTCATCGCAATCTTTTCATAGAACCCCTTTAACAAGATTTAATTAAAATATCGTAATATGACATACAAAATTAAAATGTCAATAAAATATCATAACAAAATGCATAATCCGCTAATAAAAATTGTCAAGCAACAAACAAAAGTAGAAACAAAACAAAAACTTATTTAAGAGAATTTATCCAAAGCATTATTAAGAAAAAATGTTTCACAGGTTTTAAAGATTTCTTTTTTTGTTAAAAACTTGAATGAACTTAACGAACTCACCGTACCTTTGAACTCTTTCTGAAAAATATTCCATACCTTTGGACTTCTATATAAAATGCTGTATTTTGAATATTTATTTATTATCCTTGGCAGTTTATATGTGTTCAACATATTCGCTCTAAGATTATAGTTATCATTTTTATTTAACTCAAACTTATTATTAAAGCTTATAGAAGAGATATTGTGATTGTAACGATACATGAAAATTAAATGCTGGTAGATATTTATTTCAAATACATTCATCATTTTCATATCTTTCATCAATAGATTAGCGTGTTCCCGCCTATTTTTAAAGTAAATGATTCTACAGGCATGTTTCTGAAAACTATAAAGTTTCTTAAGCTTTGCTGTTTGAGTACTTGCCCATGAAATGTTTGCATAGCTGATGAGGCTGTGAATTAGCCCAAACTAGATTAATTTAAGACTATTTGTATTAATGTACGAGCAAACTCGATACATTAAACCTATGATTTTGGTAATTTTTGACTGGATATATATTATATGAGGAAGCCAGGATAATTTTTTATCAACAACGATTCCCAAGAATCTTATATTGGATTGCTTTTTAATTAATTTATCATTTATAATTAGGTTCGGCAACTTGAGAGGTAGATTTTCTTCTAGTGTTTTTTTATGAAAAAGTATATAGTTTGTTTTCTCGGTATTAAGTGAGAGTTTGTTAGCCTTAAACCAGTTATTTACTTTATTTAGTTCAATATTCATGTCCGCATATAATTTCTTGATATCGTTGTTGGTAAGAAATAAATTCGTGTCATCTGCAAACATGACTAAATTAAGTTTTAAGGATGCATTACAGAAGTCATTTATATATATTAAAAAAAGAAGTGGACCAAGAATCGATCCTTGCGGAACTCCACATACGACATTTAACACTCCAGATTGGGCATTATTTACATATTGTTTTCTGTTTGTAAGATAGCTTTTAATCCAATAATAAGTTTTATTAACTATTCCGTAATGTCTTAATTTATCTAAGAGAATACAGTGGTCCACTGTATCAAATCTATCCCAAAATTCCACAAGAAAAAAAATGCCCCAGTCCCCCCCTACAATGTTTTGGGGCCCTGAAAACAATTTTATCATCCACATTAATAGGCACTACACAAATGCTGAAATTTTCAGAGCTCCAGCTAGTCTAAAAGGTAGTGAAAAATCAACCACAATATTTTGCTACAAAAAAGTGAAGACTGCCTCTTGTTATCTATATATGAAAATCCACTTGCAGATCAAAATCCTTATATTTTTAAAAGATCAATGTACGATGTGTAATATATATTTAAATTATATGTGTAATATATATTTAAATTTATATTTTTAAAATATCAAAGAATGATGTGTAATATATGTTTTGATATCATTAAGGCCACATGGGTTTCTTGAGCATTGAAAATGGTTTCTTTGAGCATTGAAGATTTTATTCACTTTTTTGTCAACTTTTACCAAATGATTATTGATGTAGAAACATGAAAGTTTATCTAAAATATATCTTTAGTACTAAAATTAATTCATTTTTATGCTTTCGAAAGTTACGGTTTTACTCATTGTCGCTTCATAAATAAAGTATCATTGTAAGATGTTATTTTAACCATGAATTTATTTGCATAATCCAAATTAATTTAACGTGAAAATGGAGCAAACATGTTCAATTTGTTGTTGGTCAGATTTTATACTTTAAAAAATATATCTCAAAAAAGTAACAAAAGAACATGTGATTTCAAGCCATAGTTTGTTGAAACTATAACAACTAGCCATACAATCAAAAGAGACTTTTTGTTGTAAAAATTTGTTTTAACTCTTTTCTAATGCTATATAAAATGCATATTGCATTAGGGTATATTTAAATATATATAAAGAATGACAAAAAACTGACCAAATAACACAATTGTAGATGTTACCTACTATCAGATAAAAATCAGATAAAAATTTATTATATTTACCTTACGTTTAAACCAAACCACTTGAGACTCTGTGTAGAAATCAAACATTCCATATTTTGGATCAAGGATTTCTTTCATAAGAAGCAAAAAAAACTCCTAAAATATTTCAGCAATAAAATTTTAAAAAGCAAAACAGTTTTATACAGTATATATAAAAATAATATATATAAAACAAACTCATTATATTCAAGATTAATAATTACTAATAATAATATTATTAATAATATTATTTTTAATAATATTACAGTAGAATTTTATTTTTTATTAATAATTATTTTAATTGTTGTCATAGTCTTTTCTTACCCTACAAAAAACAACTACAAAAAAAAAACCTCAACAAACAAAACTATGCAGAAATAAATTGATGAATGTGAAAGAAAATATTCTACAATAAGTTAAGGCTAACTTAGTTGTGGTAGCTTGGTAGCTAGGTAGCTGGCATTATAATTCTTATAATCTGATTAAACTATTTTTTGCTACAAATATATATTTGTGGTTGTTGCATTATGTGGTAAGCCAAGTTACTGGAACCAAATTTGGTCATTTTTCAAAAGATTTTTGTTATCTTTCATTCTACTGTAACAAATTTTAGTTTAAAATACTTATGCTATATAGCAAACCTTCTAAATTCAGGTGGTCTAAATCTCAGATCAGAAGGTGGTTTGAATCTCAGATCAGTTCTTACGTGATAAAACATCCTTTCAAATCTTTTATATTATGCAATAATTATTTGCCTTAGTAATTTATATTATTTCTAAGATATAGTCTATATTCTGCTTAGATATAACAAGAAAAAAATAAGTCAACTAATGAAAAAAGTGAAAAGATTTTGAGAAAAAAAGATCAATGTTCTATGTAATTTTGTAATTAAATTATCTGATAGTGTTAAGGTATGAAATTCAAAATGGTGATGCTAAGTTTAGCAAAGAAAACAATAAAATATAACATTTAATGCTTTTTAAAACAAAAGAACAACAATTTCACAATTCCAAATTATAAGCACTATATGGACAACACATAAAATACTCATAATAAATATACTTAAGCAAAAGTATCTTGAGTAATCTTGTGCTTACAAAATAATTTTATGTTTTACCTAACAAGAAATGAAACTAAATGATGCAGATAACAATGTAAAGATAAACCACACATGTGTGTGCATATACATATATATACACATACATGGGTGTACCCTCATGGTTGTCCGGTGGTACGGACGACTCGTTTTCTCCAAGGGTGACTGAAATTCTCATGGTTGTCAAGGGTGACTGAAGTTTAAAAAAAAGAAAACTTTGAAAATCATTTAAAGTAATTAAGCGATCGCGAAAAATCTAGAAAAATATCTGGTCTTCAAAATTTTAGTTTATGCAAAACCGTGTAATTTGTTTTTTAAGGAGTGAATCAACTTAAATATGTTTGCAAAAAAGTTATAAAAATAAAACAATTAACTTACGACTACAAAAGTAATAACACTTTTTGAAGTAGAAAAGCATCTAGAAAAATAGAGTGGATATTCAAATAATATTTAAAAATTATTAAGGAACTTAAACAACCTTATAAAAATGTACTGTATAAAAAATTTAGCATAATGAAAAATGTTACTAATGGTCCCTAAAAATGTGCATTAATTTTAAAAACCAACTAATAAAAACTTTTTATTGGTTATTTTGAAATTAATGCACATTTTTATGGATGTTTTCATAATACTAAACTTTTTATAAAGTACATTTTTATAAAATTGTTCAAGTGTATTTGTAAAAGTTCCTGAAGTTTTTAATAATATCCACTTATTTTTTCTGGATGCTTATCTGCTTTGATTAAAGTTTGGAATTACTAATATTGTTTGAAAAAAAAATGAACTTTAAGTGTTAAGTGCTTTATAAAAGTAATAACACTATTATAGTTTTATTACTATTATAATACTGACTAGAGTGTTATTACTTTTACTACAATGACTAGAGTGTTATTACTTTTGTAATCATAAGTTTATAGTTTTGTTTTGTTTTTTATAGCTTTTTCGCTAACAAACATAATAATTTGTCATTACTATATATACATTATAATAACATTTGAATTTATTGAGTATATTAAGTAAATTTTATATACTTTTAACAAAATTCTTGATCGACTTGCACCCTTTAAACAACTTCTAAGCAAATTAAACTAAAATTAAAACCTCGGATCACCAATGGAATTTTAAATCCATAATAAAAACATAAAAATATTTTTAATCCATATTAAAAACATACAAAAAGCAAATAATCATAAAACTAAAATTGAAATTTTCGCAATAAAGATTTGCAAAAGTTAGCCATACAAATGTTTCTACTTATACGTTGTTAACATATAATATAAGCTTCTAACTAAAAATTATTTTAACAAGAAATTTTAAATAGAATATGAAAAACGCATTTTATTAATAGAATAGGAAAAACGCATTTTATTTAAAGAAGCGATGTCCCAGATAACATTTTTATTTAAAGAAGCGATGTCCCAGATAACATTTTTATTTAAAGAAGCGATGTCCCAGATAACATTTTTATTTAAAGAAGCGATGTCCCAGATAACATTTTTATTTAAAGAAGCGATGTCCCAGATAACATTTTTATTTAAAGAAGCGATGTCCCAGATAACATTTTTATTTAAAGAAGCGATGTCCCAGATAGCGATGTCCCAGATAACATTTTTAAAATATCCAACTGGATATCAAATACCTGGATACTTAAAAACTATCCGGCCCAATATCTGACCAAACAATGTAATTTAAATCCTAAAATATATTTTATTATGACAAAGTATTGCCGTGATAAACCTTCTCAATGGCAAGTTTGAAAGCTTTTTAAAATTATTAATAGTTGTGATTCCACAGCTTTTTGCATGTGGAAGGCAGTAGAAGGTAATGGCATGTGGAAGGCAGGTAAGTAGGAAATGTAATAAATCTGATCAGAAGTCATTTTCCACAACTTCACTGCATATTCACCTAAAAAATTTCATTATAAATTGTGTGAAGAGGAAAAAAAATTTAATATTGAATCCTCTTCAGCTACACAAGAAAGTTCAAAATTTATTGTGATAAAGTCTTTCTTGTAAAAGCAAGAAGTTAATGTTTTCTTTAATCACTTAATTAAAGAAAAAAAAAAAAAAGACGCTTTAAATTATTGGAAACATGAAGAGAAGTTTCCAATGATAAAAGAGTTTGCACTTAAGTTACTAGCACCACCTGCATCGCTGCCTTTTTGGAAAGATTGTTTTCAGAATATGGAAATATTTATGAGAAAGAGTTGTTAATTCAATGTGGAGAAATGTTATTATTTATGCATCATAATGCAAATAACTTTATAAATGAGTGATAAACTATATTTTTTGCGCATATATAATTTTAATAATAATAACAAAAATATTGAATAAGCTGAATAGCTTCTTTTAAAGACAGGATAGCTTATCCCGGACACCTTTAATTTAAAGTCATACTAAGATTAAACATTTTCTATAAATACACAAGTTGTTTTTAGGAATTTTTTATAAAAACAAAAGAATTTTAGTCTTTTAAAATTCCCTCAATCAAATAAATTTGAAACTAAATAAAGAAAATATTAGAAAATTTAATTGCAGCAGCTTCCGTAATGGTAGCAAGTTGATAAAGTGAAAAGTTTAAAAGCAAAAAGATGATAAAGCGAATTGTTTTAGTTTTTTTTTCAACACAATTTTTATCTTTGTTTATCTTAAAAACTTTTTGAAAAATTTAATATTTTAAGGTAAAAACATTTTATTTCAAAAATTAACCCAGTGATTATTGCAAATATGAAAGCAAAAGTTAAATATTAAAAAATTTAAATTAAATTAAAAAAAATAAACTTTTTTTTACTTCTGTTTGAAGAAATTTTTTTCCAAAAAAATAACTTGTTTTCAAAATAATTTTAATAGTTATACTTAAAATTAACAAAATATAATTCGATTTAATAAATCAAATTTTTTTCTCAATTTTTATTACAAAACAATTAAAACAAATTGAAAACATTAACTTAAAAACAACTTGTGCCCCTAAATTACTTCTTTGTCCCCTTCCTTTGACAAAAAAAAATTATGCATAAAAATAAAAACTTTTTTTTAAAAATGTTTTATAAACTTAACTGTTACTTGCGCTATTTTAAACTTCGCCAAACGAAAAAATTATAAAAGATAATATTTAAACATGAGAGATATTATGTTAAAAAATAACAATTCAAACTAAAATAGAAAAAATTTTAAACTAACACACCTCTTCCCTTACAGCAAAGCGGTGACAGAGATAAGGGAGGGGGATGGGGAGTTAAAACTTTTTTTTTCGTGATTTATTTTTTTGCATTAATTCACACATATACATAAATATATATAGTAAAGTTGCAAAAAAAAAAATGGTTCTCATCCTGCAAAATTTTAATCTGTGCCTCTAAATTACATCTTGGTCCCCTTCCTTTGACAAAAAAAAAAATATGCATAAAAATATAAAAACTTTTTTTTAAATGGCAATTTTAATGGTATAACCAGTATGTTACACTGGTTTATATAATCAATTTTTCTACATCTGTGTTACTGATAACCACACATATTCAAAATTAAATCACAAAACACAAATAAGCTGAGCTTAAGACTTGTACCAGAAAAAACCTGTGCAGATATTTTAAAGGAAATTTGTTCAACTATTGTATTTCGATATTGAATGTTATATAAATTTTAAAAGTACATATTAATTTTCTTAAATTTTGTTTGAGTTTGTGAAGTTGCATACATGAAAATGCATGCACTTTGCACTTTACACAGGACATCAGCTTTTTTGGCTGAACTTTCTTGGTAGCTTTTATGTATTTATTTTGGAAGTTTTGGATGTTTTTAGCTTCTTTTACAATGAACCTTAGTTTTCATTTGACAATAGCCCAATATCTTTTGATAGGACATAATTTGGACAATTCGGTGAATTGCAGTGTTTTTCAACAAAATCTATTTTAAGATCTCTGAGCCAGTTTATAATTGTACCACAGTAGTAACATGATACTAAATCCAGCTAAAATAACAGATTAACTGCATGAGATTCCTTTTCTTGAGGCACTCTTCATACTTGATGTGTTCTTGTAGTCACAAAACAAGAGCTATTTTCACTGCATTCACAAATTGTTTGCCAAACTAAAAATGTTTTAGTAATTTTTTGCATTTCAATGCATTTATATTTGGAATTCATTTTATTGTGATTAATTGCTGAATAATATTGGTGTCCTGGGAGAGATTGAAAATATGCAACACAATAAGTTATTGTTATTGAGATCAAATGTTACGCCGATATAACATTTGATCTCAACAACAATTCTTTTCAACCATACTGTAAATGCAAAAATGAACTGTATTATATTCACTCTGATTCAAACCACCCACCTAATATTATCAAAAGACTCCCTTGCACTGTTAAATTGAGATTATCTGCCACATCAGTTAATGAATCTTTTTTTTATAATGCTATCCCACCTTACAAAGAAGCTTTAAAAAAGTGTGGCTTTAATTGTAAGCTCAAATACCAACCTCAAGTCACCTTGACTAAAAACAAAAACCAAAAGCAAAAAGTTATATGATACAACCCTCCATTTAGTCAGAATTAATAATCAAAGTTAGTTATAGCTGTATGCAAAATGTAAAGTCTATAACTAGTTCACATAACCACAAGATTTTACAGTTCTTGCATTCACATTTTACAAATGTGAATGCAAGAACTTGTAACTGCATTACAAATACTGCTTGCCCATTGAACAATCAGTGTTTATTAAGTAATATTATTTATCAAGCTATTGTGACTGATGAAAATCCTAATCCTAAAGAAAAAGAAAAAATATATTTCGGTATCAGGAAGACACCATTCAAACTTAGATATGCAAATCATTTAAAATCTTTTAACGCTGTGAAATACAGAAATGATACCGAGCTTTCTAAGGAGATTTGGAGTTTAAAAGAAAAAAACATAAAGCACACAATAAAGTAGAAAATTATAAAATGCTGTAAACACATTAAAACAACCATTAAAAATTTGTAATCTCTGATTTCATGAGAAATTTATAATTTTATATCACAAAGAAAACAACCTGCTCAATAAAAAAAACAAAATATTATTTAAGTATCGACATTCCAACAAATGTTTACTGTCATCTTTTGATACCAGAGACTAAATAGTTACATCTTTTATTACGTCAGAAGACGTTCTACCATAATTTTGAATTCATTTGTAAAATATTTTGTTTTTAAATGGTTTTTCTAATGGTTTTTTTATGTATTTAATAGTTGATGATTGCTGTGTATGGCGAGAAACTTTATGTACTATTAACAATGCTATTTTTCATTTAAACAAAATTTAAATATTTATTGCTCTATTATAGTAATATTGAGCACTGTTTTACATTTAAGAGTTTTTGTATTATTTTTATATTATTTTATTATAATACAATACATAAACAACTAATTAAGAGTCTATTATACAAAAGAGTCTTTTAGTATAATGGTGGCAATGACTCCATTAAAAACTCTTTAGTATAGTGGAGGCAACAACTCCATTAAAAACTCTTTAGTATAATGGTGGCAATGACTCCATTAAAAACTCTTTAGTATATTGGTGGCAATGACTCCATTAAAAACTCTTTAGTATAATGGTGGCAATGACTCCATTAAAAACTCTTTAGTATAATGGTGGCAATGACTCCATTAAAAACTCTTTAGTATAATGGTGGCAATGACTCCATTAAAAACTCTTTAGTATAGTGGAGGCAACGACTCCATTAAAAACTCTTTAGTATAATGGTGGCAATGACTCCATTAAAAACTCTTTAGTATATTGGTGGCAATGACTCCATTAAAAACTCTTTAGTATAATGGTGGCAATGACTCCATTAAAAACTCTTTAGTATAATGGTGGCAATGACTCCATTAAAAACTCTTTAGTATAATGGTGGCAATGACTCCATTAAAAACTCTTTTGTAAATGGTGGCAATGACTCCATTAAAAACTCTTTTGTATAATGATTTAAAACAAAAGTTTTAAATCATTAAATCTTATGAATTTTTTCTTACAGCAGATTATAAGTCAACCATCCTACCATCCAACCATCCCTAATATATACATATAAAATAAGTAGAAACTTACTTTTTTAACACCACCTGCATCTTCTGCTTCCTCACCACGGAACCGAACCTAAATGAAATAACTACATTATTAATGTATAAATACATTATATTATAACAAAATAATGATTTAAAACATGGTTTAAATTAGATTATGCATAGCATGAATATATCAACATTTTTGAAAATAATATCAAAATTCATAGCTAATGTTCATCACTATATTACATTTGGTTTACTTTAATACATACTTCAACTAAACTAGTTATACTAATTTCGATAAAAGAAAAAGAAAAAAAATTTTAATAAAATTTTTTTTTTTTAAGTGTGATAACATAATCAGTGTCATTCGATATATATATATATATATATATATATATATATATATATATATATATATATATATATATATATATATATATATATATACAAACCTCGGAATTAGGAAAACTGAGATCGGCAATAATTTGCCCACCTCAATCTTTTAAAGGTCCGCAAAGAAAATTTCATATTTTAAGGTAAGGTACCATAAAATATCGAAACGAGTTATGTTAAAGTGTTTAAGGTTGGCAAATAATTGCCAACCTTAAACACTTTAAGGCCGACTAATTCTGAGGGTTTTATATATATATATATATATATATATATATATATATATATATATATATATATATATATATATATATGTATGTATGTAGTATGTATGTATGTATGTATGTATGTATGTATGTATGTATGTATGTATGTATATATATATATATATATATATATATTTTTATATTCATATATTTATATGTCTATATAATGATTACAAAATAAGTAAAATAAATTGAAATACTAAAAACAGTATGAGACAGTAAAAATTTTTTTATTTGAATTCACCTCCCCAAGGCCATGAAGACCACTACAGACGAGGAGGCTACTTAAGTTGTGGCTACACAACCCTCTCAACTCTATAAATCCTAAACACGTACCTTGACAAACAAGGCCACTGTGTGGAGAAACAAGTTGAGCACAGTACTAGCATGGATGTGGTGGGGAACGAACTTGGAACATCTTGCTTATGAGGCAAGCATTCTACCACTACAAGTATCTACAAAAATTCTATTCTTGGGCAAAATTCTATTCTTGGGCAGTTTTTAGGGGTATCAAGAAAATTTTTATTGAACATTGAAAATTTTCTTTGAACCCTTCAGCTAGTAGGAGAGGGTAAATATAAATTTATGATACATTGTTTCCATCTAGGATATTAAACACAGGGTTTACATGACTCTAGTCATGACATTTTGCTTACACCTCCTTGGTTATTTTTTTCTGTTATCTTCTAATAAGAGTGCAACTCTAAAACTCAGTGTAAAGGTTCTGAAGTTGGCTAGTAGTAAGGTTTCCTAAACTCTGTGGCAGCTCTCAGAGTGGTTGATTCCATCTACAGCTGTAAAATATCTAATAAAATGTAATACTATAATTTTTCATTCTATCTTTTCATTTGCTAAATCTGATTTTCTTTGAAATTCATCAAAACTACTTGTTCCTTGTGAAATTAATAATGCATATATAATGCATGGGTTTGTGCTTACATTTGGCATATGCTTATATTTGTTGTGAAATCAGATTGGAAAATGGCATCTGTAGTCTTCTTACTTTTATCTTAAGCATTATTATTATTTATTATTTTATTATTCAGGTATTTAGTTAACAAACATCATGAGTTTAAAAACAAATAGAATTTGATCCTTTCATTCTGCTGCTTGACTTGACAACAAAACTTATTAACTGTTACAACAAAACTTGTTAACTGTTACAAAAAAATTTGTTAACTGTTACAACAAAAAATTTGTTAATTGTTACAATAAAAATGTTCTATTATGCATTAAATTAAAGCTGTAGACAAAAGAGGCTCTTAACATATCAATTTCTTAAAATAAAAATCTTGAATGCTGATCTTTTGCTCTCTTCATATCTAAAAAAACTTTAAAATCATTTTTTTGTAACCACAGTATTAAAGTTGCCCTTGATGTAAAACATTTTTCCTGTTTTCCAGTAAGCTTTTGGATAACACAAGATTCCACCCTTAGTACTGCATTATTTCTCGCCTATATTAATGATCTTCCTGGTATGATATAATGATCTACCCTAAAGTGATAAAAACCATTTGTTTTTGGAAAAAAAAAAAAGTGATAAAAGTTGCATCATTTCACTGTAATTTTTTGATCATGTTAAAAAATCTTTTATTTATTTGTTTTTTTTTCTTGCACATTAGTGCTTTGGAATTCTCTCCCATCTTTATGCTTTCCTGACTTAAACAACTTTAAGTTTTTTCTTTGACTCTGCCTCTTTTGCTTTCTAGTAACTCCCAACTTATTTCTAGTAAATCCTAACTTATTTCTAGTAACTCCCAACTTATTTCTAGTAACTCCTACTTACTTACAATCTTAATCTACTTGTTTACTAACAATCACTATTAAGTTTACTTCCTTGTTGGGAGTTTGTTGAAAAAAAAAAAAAAAAAAAAAAAGAGAATAAAAAATGTTCCTTTAGCTGAAAAAAATAAAAATAAAATAATAATAATAAGTTGCATTATTGCATAAGAGTAATTCCATGCGTCTGGAACTGCAAATATCCCACTTATTTCATTTAGTTTGCGCATATTTGCAAATATCCCACTTATTTCTTTTCTTATTCGGTATTCAGGGATGTTGAAATATCGCAGCATAATTTCTTGACCAGACTCAGGTGTAAAAGTTAACATCTGAATTTGAACTTTACGGTAAGAAACAACTAACTTTTCTTTTATTTCTGCTGTTAGTTTGTCTAGATCATCGCATTTGCTTTTGGCATGAAGAATTTTATGTTTCAGTTCTGCTTCGCTAACATTATATACTTTTGAAATATTATCTTCATACTTTGAGTTTTTTTAACTTTACTTTTAGCAATAGATAACCAAAGCATCAACATGCTTTGGAATGCAATAAAGATTTATGGGGAATACACCTATTATTTCAAAACTAACATTTAATGCCTCCCATGACTGATTCTTTTCCAAAGTTGAAAAAGATTGCTCAAATTCATAAATATCTTGTTCATTAAATTTACTTATTATAGCATCATAGCAGCATTGACAAAGTTGATATTCAGGCATAGATATCCGGATAACATTTGGAAAATTAATTCTCAATTGCTTTGCCATATCAATGTTATTGCAAGACTACCTGAAATGAAAAGTACAATTTGTTTTTAGTGATTAGCTATGAACATGAAAACTATTTGTTCTTATTTCAATTATATAATGCATAACCAAACCAGCTTATTTTCAAACTTTTATAAACTAGTAGGTTTTAATTTTATTATTCAGATTTTACAATGATTCTTTATCAATTATTTACTTTTGATTGCTTTTCTTTTTGATTTATGCTTGTCCAATAATTTACAACATTTTGTGCACTTCTTTTCAAAGTTTGTACCAAAAAAATTTTCATGGTGAAGGCAGATTGTTACAATTTTGTCATCTGTTATTCCAGATCTCCAAATTAATTCTTCTTTGGCGTCTTATCTATAACAATCAAATCTCTTTAAACCAGTCTTTCTACAATAAATCAGTTTATGACAAGTATCATTTAACAGTTTTCCAAAATCACATAAATCCATTCTCACTTTAAAGCTAACCTTGATAAAAGTAACAAAAAAACATTTAACATTTTAGAATTAGCAAATATCAATTAAAATAATAATTTTAAAAAGTGATATATATACATTTTTTATTAATGTTATGTTATAACAGGATATTTTTTTACTGTTGGATTTTATTTAATTAACTTGCAGTTAACATTTTAGCATTAAAGTATAGAAATTTTTTTCAAATTGAAAAGTTTTAAATTATACAATGTAAAATTCTGTTAAAATCATTATTTTAGATGGATGACTATTTTTAATCTATATACTTTGCAAATCAAAATTCTTTGTTGAAAAAAAATATTTTTTTTTAAGAAAATAAGTGGGGCATTACCCCTGTTGTCCCAACCCCATGGCCCTCTGGTTGTCTGCCCTAGAAACAATTTTAACACATGCTCATCAGGACTACACAAATGCTGAAAGTTTCAGAGCTCCAGTCCAGCTTGTCTGGAAGGTTATTAAAAATTCATCTCAATATTGCGCTCAAAAAAGTGGAACACATGCCCCAGCCCCCTCCCCTAGTGTCATGGGCCCTCGAAACAATTTTAAAATACACGTTTATTGGCACTACAAAAATGCCAAAAGTTTCAGAGCTCCAGCTAGTCTGGAAGGTAGTGAAAAATGTAATGCAAGATTCCGATACAAAAAAGTGGGGCCTGTGCCCTGTTATCCATGTATGGAAATCCACATACTTGCAGATTAATTTTCTTATGTTTTCTGAAAGTTTATTGAATATAGAATGACGTGTAAATTTTTTTTTTAATATCATCAAGGCCACATGGGTTTCTTGAGCATCAAAATCAGGTATATAAAAAATTGCCTAAATTTATTTAAATTGATAATTACAGGTACTTATTAATAGTTTTTTACATTTCTGATTGTTTTATTGGATTTTTCCCCCTAAAAATAGCCAGGTAAAAAATTTTAAGTAAAATGATCAAATATTTTTAAAACTAGGTCACAATTCTGAGGGGACAAGAGGGGCCTGGCCAAGATCTGTTAAAAGTAAAATGATCAAATTTCAAGATCTTTTTGGAGCCAGAAGCTAAAATTTTTAAGGAATTCTTATTTTACTAAGTACTCTCAACTGTATAAAAATCAGTAAAATCTGAGACATACGGTGACGCGGCTTAGATGAATTGATATGGAATTACTCATAATTTAATAAAAAATTTAATTACTTTCTTAAATTATTTCAATGTTTTTATTATTATTTATTATTTATATTAATTAGTTAATAATTATTAGATAATAATTATTTGTAATATTTATTATTACTTTTTATTATTAATTAATAGATAATAATAAAATAAAAAATTGTAAAAACAACATGACATTATTTGTTACTATTAACAAAATAGTGAAATCTTTATGTAGGACAAAAAAGCAATGAACACTTTTTTGTAGGACAAAAAAGTTTTTTCAAACACAACGTTTTAATTTTTAATTACAATTAGTATAAAAATAAAAAAATTCTTTTAAAATAAAGTTTTCAAATCAAAAAATTCCAACAAATATATATGAAGATAAACTAGACACCTTTAAAGGTTTTTTTAATTTGATTGTTGATAAAGATAGTATCTGACTTAGGGTATCTTCTACAATATGTGATCTTCTGATATCCAATATAAGAATAGGATTTAGTAAACTAGATTCAGCACAAAACAAAGTTTGAGCGATAGCTGCCTAAACAAAAATATAACTTTTTAATAATTTTTTAATTAAGCATGCAATGCTGTATATTAAAATTTAAATATAATACATAAAATACCTTCAATTTATTTATACCAACTACCTTATTTTTAATAATTTTTTTAGGTTATAAAATAGTATGAGAATTAAGGATGAAAATTACTTTGATTTGAACAACATGTAAAATAATAATAAGAACAATTATATAAAAATTTACATATTTTTTGTAAAACTGGTTTTGGCATCAATAAATGCACTGATTAAGCAAAGCTTGCACTTGAACAATATTTTAACACCGTTGTGATATATTGATATATTGCACTGCTATATTGTTTTTTTAAACAATTTTGTTACTACTCTCCTCCCCCTCTTTTTTATGTGGAAATTTCTCTTTTGAGGAGATTTCTAACAACTTCTGCCAGATTGAGCTTAAAAAAGTTTAAAATATTTACAAAATGGCAAAAATAAGTATTGAAAGATACGAATCCTTTCTCCCCATGCACTAAATCACAAATAGTTTACAACTTTTATAAGTATAATAAATATAATTATAATTATTCTTTTGATTTCTAATGATTTTTTATGGCACACACTGAGGTTTAAACTTTTTTTATATTTTGAAGCAAATGTTTTTTTTTTTTTTTTTTAATTAAACCAAATATTCACCAAATGTTTTTAATGACAAACTTTTAAATTTTGAAAATAAAATTTATAATGAACATTCTGCATTTTTAACTGTTACTAATAGGCTGCAGTGATTTATCCCCAAAAAAATTTTTCAAAGTTTTTAATTCAGAATTAAGCTTTCAGTTATGTAGAGCCCTACTTCTATAAAACCCAGTTTGTAAACTTTGGTGATAATGCTTAAACTGTTTTTGCAGTTGACAAAGATTGCTCACCATTATGAAAACTTATCAAAAACCTGATACTAAAATAAGAAAACTTGATTAATCATAAAGATTTCTAAAAAATTATTCATAAAGTTTTATAAAAAATTATATCTAAAATGTTTTTATGATTTTGCTGCTTTTGAGATCCAGGTTGACATACTTTTAATCAATTTTTTTTTTGACATGCTTTTAATCGATTTTTTTTTAATATTAGAGATCTGTCTAATGTTTAAGGTTATTGAGATACCCTTAAGTATAATTTTTATGAATTGTTGAAATCTAGTATCATTTTAATTTACAGAACATAATTAGAGAAAGAGAGTTTTTATCACTCATAGAATTCATTTTCAAAAAAATTTTTATATTGGCACTCTATTACACGCACCCTATTATATTGGCACTCTATTACACACACCCTATTACAAGTACCTTACTACACACACAAATGTAAAATAAAAAATAAAAAAAAATACATTTCTTTGAAACTCTGACTCTATCATAAGAAGATCAACTTTTATCTTGATGTCTAATATAAATGGGTATTGGCAAAATGCAAAAACATTCTAAATTTAAAAAAAAAACATTTATAAAAGTCAGCCTAAATAAAAATTTATTATTAAATAGTAAACAAACAATTGTGAAAAAAATAATAACTGTAACATTAATTAAAAAGAATACACATACAGGATATTGTAGCCAGTTCAGAAAGTCGTCTTTTATAGGTATTTTAGCAGTTAGATCTTCAATGTAAAATGCATTGAAAGGAATCTTATTTTCAGCTTCATTTATCTAACAACAATTTTAAATTTATTACATAAAAAAAAAAATATCAAATTTTTTTTAAATATTATTTAAATATAACAATTTTTTTAATAACTGTTTATTTTATCATTTTATTTATTTTTTTATATAAGTTCACTTTGTCAAATCTAGGTGGCTATTTTAGTCAAAGTTTTTTATTTTTTCAAAGACTTAAAAAAAAAAAAACTTTATAGAGTTGATAGAGAAACTCTATTAAGTTTTTTTAAAGTTTAACATGGCATCAATCTAACTTTTTCAATGAACTTTATTGTTTGTCATTTATGTTATATGTTCTTTAATGTACTCTTTGACATGAGTACTTGTTGCATTTTTGTTATATGTTCTTTAATGTACTCTTTGAAATGAGTACTTGTTAACCAAAACTTAATCTTGTGTGACTTGTCACTTAGTCTTTAACTGGAATTGTTCCTTATACTTTTATATTATTATTATATATTATTATTAGATTATTATAGATATATTATTATTAGATTTGTTCCTTAAACTTTTATATTATTATTATATATCATTATTAGATTATTATAGATATATTATTATTAGATTTGTTCCTTATACTTTTATTTTATTTCTAATACTTGAAAAAAATATTTTTGCCTAGTTTTTTTTCTTGAACATCAAATTCTATTCTGTTTTTAAGTTTTTCTGACTCATAAAAGTTACAGTTTTTAAAGCTTTCAATTATTTTCTAGAGACCTTGCTTTCTTTTTGCTTTTCTTGAAACTCCCAGTTTATATGGTTGTTGCTTATAGCTTTGTTCATCTAGTTGCCTTGTTATTAGACATTTCATTAAAAAACAGCAAATGATAACTTTAAACAACCCATTGTCTCTTGTTTTGGATATTATGTTAGAAATAGTTTTAAAACTTAATAAAATACAGTTACAGTAATGCAAGATCTCAGAATGAAGGTGCGTGAGCAAGTAAAATGTATTTCTATTACTTTGTTGATAAAATTTTTATTAAAAATTTTTTTTTTCAATTGGATACCTTATGGTTAATGTTAAATTCAAATTAAATTTAAATGCAATAAACAATTTTTGTTATAAAGATTAACCAACCTGGTTCAACCTCTCTAAAACCATCATACAACTTTTTATTGCTGCATGCAGCATAAAAACCTAAAAATTTATTGAAAGTTTAAATTTGATAACAAAATGTAAAACATAAAACACCTCACTAAAAAAAACCCTCAGTAAAATGCAAAAAAAATAAATAAAAATAAAGATGATAAAAACAGTGAGAAAAGTACAAAAATTATGCAATAACCAAAATGTAAAGAGTTATTCACTAACTTAGGCTAAAGAGTAAACCAGGGAGAAAACCTCATGATAAAAAACAAATATAGGAAATAGGTTTGTGATAAATTCTTATGAAAAGAAAAAATATGGTAAAAAAAAAGCTTAAGATAAAGAAAAACCTTCAAGAGAAAAAAATCTACACAACATTAACCTACAACAACAGAAATATGCCACAAGATAGCAGAATTACCCAGCTGAAATGTCTACATGATAGCAGAAATACCCAGAAAAAATATGCTACATGATAGCAGAAATACCCCAAAAAATATGCTACATGATAGCAGAAATACTCAGCAGAAATATGATGAAGATAATCCAAATTCTATTTGTGTGGGACTTTTAAATGCTTGGTACACATCAATAAAGTGAAAACATATAGCAAATAATTGTCAGAGTTGATGTTTTTAATGATGAGTTTGGGTGCTAATTTAATTATGATGAGTTTGGGTACCAATTTAATTATGATGAATTTGGGTGCTAATTTAATTATGATGAGTTTGAGTGTTAATTTAATTATGATAAGTTTGGGTGCTAATTTAAAAATTCAAAAAATAATAAAAACAAACCGTCTGGTTTGCAGTAGGTGGCAATTTATGATCTAATAGTTCTACTACTGATTTCTTGAAAGACTAAAAAATAGTTTTAAAATTTTTTTGAAAAAGTAAATTCATATTAATAAAAAATTAAATAACAAAACAAAACAATAAAAACAACAACCTGTACAAGCCTCTCAAAAAATGAAGCAGGAAGTGATGACCACCACTCCACTAAAAGAATTAAAATAGTTAAAAATAATTAGAAAGTGATAAATGGAAAGTAAAAACTGAAACGATTTAAAGTCCCAACAATTTAAAAACCAAAACTCATAAATAAAAAAGTAATGCATTAGTATAATAGTATAAGTGTTTTTATTGAATGAAAATACATTTTTTTAGTTTTAAAGTTTAAAATACAACGGATTCTTTCTCACTATTTATAATTTTCAAAATTATTTTTTATTTTTATATATTTAAATTGCATATAACTTATATATAACCAAGTGTACATGTATCAGCAATGTCAAAATGATTTTTGAAGCAAAAAAAAGTACACTAGTTTTTATGCTGGGCTGGAAACTTTTTCAGGATTTTGAAAATTACAGTAAATGAGTTGTTGGTTCTTTATTTTAAATTATTACATTTATAAATACATAAACATAATACAATCTTACATTTAAATACATTTTATAAACACATATGAACGAATATTAAATCCAAATTATTCAAGAAGAATATGCCTTTTTTAAGAAGCCATTTTGGCAAAACTTTCCCTCAACTTTGTATTTATATTCATGTATTTTTTGACAAGCAACTGCTTCTATTGGGTAATTATTATATAACATTTTGCAAAATACCACAGAGAAAAAGCTAAAGTTGCTTGTTAAAAAAACAAAGGAAGCAGCTTACTAAACTAAATTAACAAAATGTTATTGCATAACAACAATATATTATAAAAATGTTAAAAAATAGAAAACCGGTTTTCGTAATTTCAAAACTGGTTTTTAAATATGTCAAATTTATTTTAAAAACCTGTTTTTTTAAATTGGTTTTGAAAAACCCTACAAAATAGTAGTAAATTGTTTTTTTTCTTTGGTTATCATGTGTTACTCACATCAAAAAGTTTTAGTTATTCTAGAAATGTAATTACTAAATCATTATTAAAAAATAATTCTTATAAATAAACTTTTGAAGTGTAAAAAAATAAAAGAGTAAAATTAGAGATGTCTAGAAAACTATTCAAAAAATTAACTATCAATAATAGATTAAAAATTTGAGTTACTAGAGCCAAGCTATTTAATGAAACAAACATCAGTCAAAACATTGGCTGATCTAACTTGACCAGAAAAAACATATAAAGGTGCCCAGCCGAGGTAAGAAGGAGAAGAAAGAGCAAAAAGAAAATGGGAAGAGGTACTAAGTGAAAAAAAGAAAGTGGGAAGAGGTGCTAAGTGAAACAATAGTCGGAGGATTCTGATTTTACTTAATTTGTGTAGCAATTTAATTTAATAATTTGTGTAACGTCTCCTCAGAGTTGGATCTACTATTACTGACATTTCGATGAGGATAAGCACTAATAACTAGTTTACCCTGTCAGACAAACCTCATTGCCGCTTATGCTTCACCCTGTGATTTACGCCTATTCAACCCTCGGAATCAGGGTCGGCATTCGGCAATGCCGACCTGAAAGTGTTTGAGGTCGACAAAAAATTGCTGACCTTGTTTTTATCTTTTATGGTCAGACCTCTGTATCAAATAATTTTTGCCGACCTGATGCTGACCTCAAAAAGATTGAGGTCAGCAAATTATTGCCGACCTCATTTTTCCTAATTCCGAGGGTTGCCTATTTTATAGTGCAGTAAAAGGACTCACTACAAATAGCCAAAACCCAACCATCCCCAAATCTGTAAAGCACCAATATTCTTTTGATATTAAAAGTGTAGATCTACTTTCCAAAATAAGTAAAAAATAACTAAACAAATCACTTACCACTGAAAGAAAACATGAAAACATAATAAATTAAAATTCTAGTAGAAACACAAAAATACTAATAAATTCCTTTTTAAGACATATAAAACCAATTAGGTATTTTTAGCATAAATAAACCCAAGACAATCAGAAAGCAGTAAACCTCATAAATTTAAAAAAAAAAAAATCAACAAAACAACAATAGAGTCTTTAATAAACTCTAATGCTGCCATATAAAAAGTGACCGGGGCCCCGGCCCGGGCCATGGTTAAAAATGATACTTTTTGCAAACCCGGTAAAATTATAAGATTTAGCTGGGGCTAGAAAAATTTAGAATACTTTATATATTTTAATTTTATACTTACATTTACTTTTTATTAAATACTGGCATACATTTATATATTTTTAAACTTACTTCCAACAAGGTTGTAAGCAACCACTATTAAGTTATAAGTTACCTTAAAAAAGAGGATAGGGTTAAAGAGCTAGGAAACGGTTTACTGAAGACTTGAAAAGTTGTAGATTGTATAAAAAAGGAAAACATGAAGATGGGTAAGAATTATAAGGTTTTTTTGATGTGCAAGGAAAAAAACTGGATTAATAAAAGTTTTCACAGTATGAAGGGATAGATACAGTAAAAGGATGCAACTTGTTGAATAAGAAGCCCAACAAGAATGAATTTTGGTTTATTGTAATAGAGATGATAGCTCAATTGAGCATTGACCACAATAGTATTAGTAGAAAAACCAAGCTTGAGCCACTTTCCCATTGTTGCAACCATGCAACAATGGGAAAGTGGCTCAAGCTTGGCAAATAAATCAGGTCTAATTACATTTACAATTTGCTTCTAATCTTTGGCTGCTTGTTCTAAACAATAAAAAAGTGAAGACTTTTTTGTCAAGCAATCGTATAAAGTTGAGTCACCAGCAAATAGAGCTACTTTAGATGTAAAATTTTCATAAAGATTGTTACTGTAAATAAGAAACAATACAGAAGCAAAGATAGAACTTTGTGGTACCCTTAAAGTTACTTGAAATAAAGAAGAGTCTAGGCCTTCAAGAACAACTTTAATGCTGCAGTTAGAAAGAAATGACTTAACAGTCTCAAAAAATTTATATAAAGAAATTAATTTTAGAGTAAAGACAAATCGTAGGATAGTTGGAGAGGTCAAATTGTTTTCTAGAGTTTTTAAAAATTGGAACCACAAGCAGATTTTAATTGTTCTCCAGAACTCTCTTGAAGAGAAAAAAAAAAATGTGTTCTGGAGAACACATTTTTAAGACCATGATGGAAATTTTGTCTGAAGAACCAACTGTAGAAGCATTTAATTGAAAATTAATTTTAACATTGGAAGCCAGAGTGATTTAAATGTTTAACAATGGGTTAACCTGTTGAACTGGTATGACAGAAAGAATATGGCCTTTAGATTCAGTAGTGAATTTAGAGGAAAAGTTCTTTCCAAATAACTCTGGCCTATTCTAGAAAGAAGTAAAAAGACTAGACCCATGAATAAGAGACTAAATGTTAAACTTGACACTGTCGAAGACTTTCTAAAAATATCTAAGATACAAGATTTAGTAAACTGAAAATAAAAGAGCTTAAGATTGGACAGGACCTTTTTACATTGGCTTATTGCAATAATAAAAGGATATTTGTTCTTAAAAGAGATGCTCTTGTGAAAATAATGAAAAAAATAATTGCAGCTTAATAAAGCAACTGCTCAAGACGGTGAAATATGTGGAGTAGAATGAGGCTTGACTTAAAAATAAAGAGACGGAATAAAAGCTTCCAAGATGCACATTATGCATACATAATATGAACATAAACATGTTTGCTATTTATTTAGATGCTAACCTCTGTAGAAATTGGTTTAAAGACTGGAACAAACAAATTTAAACTAATCTCTGTAGAAATTGGTTTAAAGACTGGAACAGACAAATTTAAACTAATCTCTGTAGAAATTGGTTTAAAGACTGGAACAGACAAATTTAAACTAATCTCTGTAGAAATTGGTTTAAAGACTGGAACAGACAAATTAAAACTAATCTCTGTAGAAGTTTAAAGAGCATGTAGGTCTAGCAAATTTTGCAGAAGATTCAATTGATTGAAAGTTACTTTGAAAACAACAAATATTTGTTAAAAATAAATTAAAACAAAATGGTGGTAATGATGGTTTTCTAAATTAATATTTTTAGATACTTTGAAATTTCATGAATTTAAATAAATACACTCTATTAATACAAAAACACAATATAAATCAATACATTTAAGTTTTTAATTTTTTTTCTAATTATTTTTAATTATTATTGTTATTGTTATTATTATTATCTTTATATATTATTGCCAAACCTAAAAGTTTAGTGTAGCAGTTCAGTACTAAAAAATTTTAAGTAAGGTGTATTGGTGTTTGCAAAGAAACATTATATAAATCACTTTTTAATTTTAATGTAAACTAACTTGTACTGTTATTTGTTTATACATATTGTTTATTAAATGTAAAAAATCCACTTATATAACATTTTATTCAGAATTGAATGTAGTATAAGAAAACTTTTCTAATAATTAAAAGTCTTTTTTGCTCAAGCTGTTTTGTTTTGATTTTTTGTACGTATGTTATTATATTTTAAAAAATTGACCAGATTGAAAAAGCACAAAACATAGTCTCATCCAAGTAAAAAATGTAAAACTTCAATTTTAGATTCACCCCTCTCTTGATAATTTCTGATTGCTAAAATTACGTCATCTGATTCTTAGACCATTAAAAAACGATAGTCAAGGTTTTTTCGTTAACCCTTGAAGATACAATTTTTTTGCATATGTGACATCACTTTGTGGCAAAAAACTAGAAAAACAAACTAGAAAAAAGGTTTTAATTAAATTTTTAAAAAAGCTTCTTCTATTTAAGATATATGGAATATATTTTCATGGGATATATTCTAATAAATACAAAAACTATTTTTTTATTACTATTGTAATAAATACAATCTCTTATCCGTGAAATGATATATCTGTACCAATTTTATATATTTTTATGCATTTGTATGCAACAAAATAAAAATTAATCAAAAAATGTAAGATAAATGCAAAAGAAACTTGATGCATAAAGGTTTATTTTGCCACAAACCGATCTCAATGCACAAAATGTTTTTCGCTTAACTTTTAGATTAGCGTTTACTATTATTCTTTAGTTTGTACTCATAATCATAAGAATGAACTTTTTTTTTATGACTACATTTTAGTGGTCTAAGATCTTCTTAGTTCCATTTGTATAGCGTTACGTACAAATGTCTGTAAGTGTAAGCGCCTTTAGCATATGTTGAGTTTGCAGGCATTAAATGGAATAATTGCGTACAATATATCTATAAAATGAGAAAACTTTAAAATTTACTTAAAATTTTAGAAATCGTTTTTGTTATATTATTATTTTTTTCCTGTAAATATATAAACTAGATGTAAAAAATTTCATAATTTATAACGCAGAGGTCTTATAAAGAGGTCTTAAACCCCCCTAAACAACACTGATGACAGCGCACTTAACCACTGAGCTATCAATGAAATGCATTTAGCAGAAAAACAAACCTAATTATAAGTCTCTTATAAGCTCTACGTATGCGGAAAAGGTGCGCATGTTAATGTTTTTGCTCTTAAAGTTTTTTTCAGAACAAAATTATTTTACTAAAAAGTATTGAAGTAGATAAGCAATAGGTATAGAAATAATTGGTGTGGAATAGGTATGTATTGAAATGGTAGGTTTGGTGAAGATCTGTATTTTACGGATCCGGAAAGCTAGAATATATAAGGAAAAAGTATAAAAAAGTTTGGTTTGGAATAGACTTACAAAGACCCATATTTTTATGGGTTCAATCTCAGCTAGTTATATTATTATTATAATTTAGTTCTAATAATTAAAATTAGTTTACTAATAAATGCCCTAGTAATGGTCACAATATATAAGGTTAATTAAACTTACTTTAAACTTATAAATCAATAATAAAAATACTGAATTGGATTGGTACCATATTTTCTTTCTTGTTACTTTTATTTTATTTGACGCTTCTTAAACACAGGTATTAATTGGTAAAAGCAGGTATTATTCATAATTTTATAATAATTAGAGAACTTGAAACAATCATAACATATGTACACCTTAATCTATAAATACTAAAGATATATAAACCATACTTATTGCTTAAGATGTCAAAAACTATTTTTAAGGTGTAATACACTATTTATAATAGTGTATTACACCTTAAAGAGCCTAGTTCCTGCTAATCGACCCAAAGTTGTAAAAAAAGGGTTGAATGTGGCCTTTACAACACAGACCAAAAGCACTAAGAGGGACATCTTCCACCTGTAACATGGCACTATTAATACTCTAATATTTAATAGCTGTAGTTGGGATTTAAAAAAAAAATTTAAATATAAAAAAATTTTCTCTCTAAAAGCTGCCACAGAAATCGGAAAACTTTACTACAAGCATAAAGACTTATAACCTTGATACCTACGATACCAGCCTCAGAATCATTAAACTGAGTTTTAGAGCTATACCCTCATTAGAAAATAACAGAGTTGCACAGCCACAACCAAGTAGGAACAAGCAATTACCCATGAAAAGCTGATAAATATTCCTAAAGTCTCAGTATAAAAGGCCTTATATAAGACGATAGCTAGATGCAGTTAAAATCTGTCTAAAATGAGTATTTTTAGTAAGACATCCTCTCTAGCTTTTGGAGATCATAATGACCCTAGTACTGACCTGAGATACAGTTTATTAGTCTGCATGTTACAATGTGAACAACATAAGCAATAGACAGGGGTAAATATCTCCTAATAAGTATCTTATAATGTATTCTTAGGTTTACATACAATTTCACTAGCAACAGTAAAAACATCACCTGTTAAGTAAAGGAATGAGAATACAACATTTGTGTATGTAAGAGACCTATTATGGAAAAGCTTTAAACACACACACACACAAACAAAACAAAAACAACAACTAATTATAAAAACCTTACCTAATATAGACTGTGAACATTTTTGCATAGAAAGCATTGCATCTGCAAACGGAACTAAAACTGTCAAAATCTCTTCAGGATTAAAAAAAAAGGGCAACTCTGGAATTATTAAAAAAACTCTCATAGCCTCAATATCTTTTGGCGATGAAAATAATGAACGAATAAGTTTTGTGGTCACTGCTTGAATAATCTAAAAAAAAAGTTTAATAAAAATCCAAAAGAACAGAATGAAGTTAATAAAATAACAAAAATATAATAAAATGAAAAAAAGAAATAAAAAAAGTAAAAACAATAAAAGGAAAAAAAGTCTTCTACAGTTGCATTAGTTTTATAATAATAGTAATAATGATAAACACCTATAACCAAAATTTAATTCTGATATCAATAGCATTGTTATTTTTAAGCCTTTTTAGTTATACTCAGTTTGATTTGAATTGAGATCAAACTATCTGTCAAATTTACTCAGACATTACTATTTAAAAGCTGTTTTTAAAATAATATCAATATTAAAATAATATTTCATAAAAAAATCATTAAACTACTAACTTATAAAAATTTTATATAAAAATAACTACATACAGCTTTGTTCACAGAATTAACAGAACATAGTTTGTTAAGTGCTGATCGTATTAAAAGCAATTGCAAACCGTGTTGCTTAGCTGATGTATTTTCATGGATTTCTCTATGCAAAAAATATAAATAAAACTTCAAGTTAACTAGTTTCTGAAAATGGAATTGTATCAATAATAAAACATTCACCTCTTTAAAAATGATGCATTTAGACATGCTTGACTTGAAAAGATGATAACAAGATTTTCAAGATGTCTATAAAAAAAGTTAAAAGAACAATACATGACATAAACAAAACATAAATGTTAAGCTATAAGAAAAAAGGTGACTATAGTGGTGGGATCTGTGTCTATAATGGCAAGAACTTTTATGCTTCATTGATTAATAACATGAAGACTTATAATAAAATTTTGGGTGTTCAAAAGAGCTCATTAAAGGAGTGACTCCACTATCAAGCAGGAAAAAAAGATTTTTAAAATTTTAAACTATTTTGTTTTGTTATAAGTTATTACCATTAATCAAAAATAAAACATTTGACATTATAAACAAACAAATGCTTTTATGGGAAAACATTATAGACTAACCAATTACTTTTATGATGGGATAATTTAAATAAATTAGAAAAAAAAACATTTTTTTATTATCATTAATAAGAACAAATAAAATTTTCCAAATTTAATATATGCAAAAACATATATAGTGTATATATAAGCTGCTTTTAGAGCAAGATTGTAAGAAGTATTACTTGCTTTATTTTTCTCATTTTTCCACCATAAGCACCCTCTCTTTAGTGGTCCAGTTTTTACTTTTGTTCTTTTGGACTCAGTTTTAGGAGGTACTAAAAACGCAGAGTACAATTTTTTATAAGTTTAGCTCTAGGTTTGAAACAAAATTTTCAGTGTTTTCCACTTGCTTCTGATGTAATTTGAAACAAAAATTTCAATACTGTCCACCTGCTTTTAATTTATTTTGAAACAAAAGCTTTAATGCTGTCCATCTCCTTCTGATGCAATTTGAAACAAAAGTTTTAATGCAGTTCACCTGCATCTCAAGCGGATTATTTATTTCTAAAAATTCTCCAACTCTTGTTTTTTATCAGTGTTTACACTTTTTTTTATTTTTATCAGTGTTTTTGCTTGTTTATGTCATTCTGCTTGTTCACCTCATTCTGTTGTTCATCTCATTCTGCTTGTTAAAAAAAATATAAATATCCGGTCCTTAAAACAATTTTGGCAAAAGCATGCACAACATTTGTTGTTTTCAAATGTTTCAAATGATCATAACTATAGAATTTATATTTTCTAGCTATAACAATTTATATTTTCTTTTACTTCAAACAATTGTAAATAAGTTTTGTTGAAAGGACATATAATATTTTACCCTACATTTTTAATCATTTTTTACTTAAAGCTTCTCCATTAAAACTTAAAAGTTATATTTAAAATTAAATTTTTTTGTTAACTTTAATGTAAGATATTGTTGTATAACTTAGACTTATTTCAGGCTTAGGATATATTTATGATAACTAATACCATTGCAGGGCCTATTCTAGGAAAAAAATTTGGGCAGCAGTGCCCCCTCATTCCAGCGAACTTTAGCGCAAAATCTGTGGGTGTTTTTTGCAAAAATAAAAAATAAAAAACATAACAAAAATAAATAAAAGGTCCTCAAATTTTAATTAGGGCAGCGCCCAATTCAGCGCTTAAATACAGTTGACACTGTCAAAACGCTCGCTTTATAAGCAACGGGTTCCGAGTCCGATTACCACCACTCTAATTTCTATAGTTGCTATAGATATAGCGCAAATAACTCCAAAATTATTTTAATATCTGCACTACAACCTTAAAGCATGGTTTCAGTTTAATAGGAATGACAATTATACAGTTGCCTTTTTTATTGATGCACGTTCCAAAACTAATTTCTAAGAATTAGTTAAAACACAACAAGCAAAAAAAAGAAAAAAAATTGTTATGCTCTGAATAAGATTGCAATATGTGATTCACATCAAAATATTTTTCAGTGAAAATATAGGTCAATGAAAAATTGTCTTTCAATGAACTATCACCAGTTATTTTGTTAAAAGCACCAAAAACACCTTGAATGTAACAAAATTGTCATTTAGGTTAGAGATACTTAGTATTTTAAGTTAGTAATGTGTTTATGTTATCAATCAGTAATATTTTTGAATCTAACACACAAGGATTCTTTTTTTCAGAATAAATAGTTTTTTTGCATTTTGGATAAAGATTTTCCATAAATACAAATTTAAATACATTAAATATATATATATATCAGGGCTCGAATTAAGCGTATCGTGATTGCGATTGCTTTTTACACCTTAGCGATTAGTTTTTTCTTAAAATATATATTTTCGCGATTGGTTTACTATTTTAGTTGTTTATTTACTATTTTTCTAATTTAGCTTTTTTTTTTGGCAATTCTTAAAAGTAATGTTTTCATAGTAGAGTATATCACGCAAAGTTTGTCTTTTGAATAGAAGCATGATTATTTGCTCTTTTGCGCAGAAATTTTTATTCAACGTAAAGCACTTTTTAATTTAAATTACTTTAAATTTCTGCGTAGAAGCAAATTAAAAAGAAAAAAGTTAAAAAGAATTTTTCTTTATTCTATTTTTTTTAACAAAACATCATTTTATCTTTTTTTAAAAAAAACGTTGCTCCAAATTAACTTATTAATAATGATTTAAATTATTATTTTATAAACAATTTTATATAGTTATTTTTATTACTTTAAGTATAATAAAATATATATTAATTCGATTTTATTAAATAAAATTTCTATTAGTAAAATGTGCTAATAGAAACCAGCAACTATTTGCTTTCATGTTTTTCGCTTTAATGACCTTGAAACTATTGAAATTATATTTAGTTAACTTTACTGAATAGATAGAGTATATCATAGTAAATTAACTTATAACCTAAATAAGGTCTAGTCAGGAGTATGGTCTTCATGATCATCCTGCTACTGGTAACATGTAACCCAGTGCAACATGTTCCATGTTCTGCTGCCTTGCAGGATTTGCTATCTAAGCAAAGGCTGGAAGGAGTGTTCTTCCTGTCATCAGTACTATCTTATATCAGTCATGCCTATAGTAATTTTTTTTTTCCATATTGTTGGAGGTGCCTTAGTTACTGTATTAGCTCACCTATAATCTACGTTATATGTATGTTTGTGTTCTGTCTGAACCTCTGGCGCAGTGTTCGCTCACCCGTAAGTTACTTTATGTTCTTTATGTATGTCTGTGTTCTGTCTGAACCTCTGGCGCAGTGTTCGCTCACCTGTAAGTTACTTTATGTTTATGTTTATGTTTTTTATGTTTTTTTTATGTATGTTTGTGTTCTGTCTGACCCTCTGGCGCGGTGTTCGCTCACCCGTAAGTTACTTTATGTTTTTTATGTATGTTTGTGTTCTGTCTGAACCTCTGGCGTGGTGTTGACTCACCCGTAAGTTGATTTATGTTTGTTTGTGTTCTGTTTATACTCTAATGCAGCGTGAGCTCAGTAACTAACTTCTTACTATAACTACAAAACCTACTCTCACCTTAGACTCCTGCATTTTGTTAGATGCAGTGTTTTCCTAATGCACTTCCAAAATATCATGCCTGGTTTTCTCAAAGTACTGTTGCGGGAAGTAACTCCTTTTAACTACTCCAGGTCTGGTCAGGATAATCAAGACCAATCTTGCTACTGGTATCACGTAACCCAGTACCACCTGCCACAAGCCCTGCTGCCTTGCTGAGTGTGCTCTTCTTAGGCAAAGGCTAGGAGAAATAAACTCCGACTAAAAATTCCCCTGCCTTGGGGCTCTTGGTTGAGTAAAGGCTAGAGATGGTGTCTCGATAAAAACACTCATCTTGGGCAGATGTTAACTGCATCCAGCTAAACATCCCCTGCCTTGGGGCTCTTGGTTGAGTAAAGGCTAGAGATGGTGTCTCGATAAAAATACTCATCTTGGGCAGATGTTAACTGCATCCAGCTACTGTCTTGTAAAAGGCCTCCTAGGCAAAGACTTTAGGGGTAAGCAGAAAAATTCTGCTAACCAGCCTCGAACCCCTTCTTCATCTATTAGGCTGGCATAGATGTAACCTATGTTACATTGTTTCCTGCCTAGGATGATGAATGCTGGATCTCCTTGACTCTACTCATAGAACTTTGCTTATGTCTCCTTGATAATGGCTATGCAACTCTTCCTGTTATCTCCATATGAGGGTACAGCTCTAAAACTCAGTTTAATGGTTCTGAGGCCGGCTGGTAGTAAGGTTTCCCGAACTCTGTGGTAGCTCTCAGAGGCTGATTCCATCAACAGCTGCAAAATATCAGAGTATTAACAGTGCCATGTTGCGCATGGATGGTGTTTCTGTTAATGATTTTGGTGTGCATTGTCAAAACCACATAAGGAGCCCTATGTCACGGCTTAGGGTTAATTAACAGGACAGACACAACTGCATAGCTCATTGATTAGGAGGCTGTGCTCTATCTATGAATGAGTCAAGTTCTCATTAAACCCAAATCATGACCAAAGTAACCAAAAATTTAAAACCTAAAAAACCATCCCGACCACCTAAATATTTTAATATATCTTTTACAAATATTTGCGGTCTACAAAGCAACTTTTCATCAGTTGAGTCTTACCTCCTGCAAAATTCACCAGACTTGCTTGCACTCAGTGAAACAAATTTAAATTCTGCAATTCCTTCTTCAGATGTCAGTGTTGATGGGTACTATCCTTTGATTCGTAAAGACTCCAATAGTCACATGCTAGGTTTAGGGGTATACATACGCATTAATTCCCCTATTTGTCGTGAAATCAGGTTCGAATCCTTTGACCATTCTTTTATGTGCTTTCGCCTAGCACCTCTTCACTCTATCACTTTTCTCTTTGTTCTTTATCGTTCTCCTTCTTCCCATGATTGCACTCTTTTAGATGTTATCTCTGATCAAATTGACCATGCCCTCTCTCTTTACTCCTCTGCCAATATTGTTGTTGTTGGTGATTTTAATGCCCGTCACACTGAATGGCTTGGCTCTAACACCACTGATCCTGCTGGCACTAAAGCCTTTAACTTCTGCGTTTCTCAATCTCTTACTCAGATAGTTAACTTTGTGACTCATTTTCCTGACAACCCTAATCATTTACCTTCACTCCTTGACTTATGTCTTGTCTCTGACCCTAGCTTATGTTCAGTTTCTCCCTTTTCTCCCTTAGGTGGTTCTGACCATGCAATGATCTCTATA